CCCTTTCCCTTCACTGGCCACTATTTCATTTTCTAGATAGGCGTCTATATGTTTAATACGCGATATAGATGCTGCACACATTTTATTCCAGTAAATTACGATTCTACATCATATATACAAGCGTTTCTCTATAAGGATTATCTAATCGTAAAATCGTTTATTTCGTAAATCGTATCAAATCGTATTGAACATTTCTAAAGATGATAATATACTTCGTAGACATATGCACAGACGTGTTGTTAACGGCGCATTTATCTTTTGTAGATATTATCCTAATTTGTTGGGTTTGATGGGTTTGATGGGTTTAATGTTTTGACTAAAAATGTAAAACTTTTTACGTCCCATATATCTATTTTGCGACACTATAACACACTTTCGCGTTTGTGAACTCATTTTTGCGTAGTAAAGTTAACAACCGGGAAACTAGTTTAAAAGTCAGCGCGCCACGTGCGTTGTTAAAAAGTTGGCGATTTGTCATTTTAGTTGCGGATCCCACAAAACAATGGCATTTATAGGTAAAATTATAATATAGGCGAAATTATTCCCGCTACGTGTGTTTATGGGTATAATCACCTTGTTTTGCATTTGTCTGCGCGATGTCGCTGTAACGTCACGCACGAATCATTACCGAAACCAGAATACTTATAACATTTAATGAAACGTTACGAATTCGAACACCACGTCGGTGACTTCCGCTGACGTCACTGTTTGCGAAGTAACGAAGCAGACGCGTGTTAGCAGAATCTGGCAGACGTGGCCGCGGCGAGTGTGGGGTGCGAGTAACTTTAGCACAACCAGAGAGGCGTTGTGAGACACAGAATTAGTCTTAACATTAGGCTTAACAATAACTTTTCCTCGTAGACCGCACCTCTACATACAGCGTGCGAGAAAGTCGTAACTTTACCGCGTTTCTGTCAACGGTCTACGGGAAAAAGTTCATTAATTCGGTATAATAGCGAGTTTTGCACACGCAGTGTGTAGCGGTCCGGCCTACGAGAAAGGGTTAACGTTGATACTATGATGTGACGTCAGGACTAATTCTGTGTCCGACAATAGGAGTCTAGTCTGCAGAGAGCTCTATAACACAGCGTTAGAATAAATCTCGAAGAAGTAGTTTTTCCGGTAACCATGGTAACTGGAGGCAGCGTTGCTTTTGTCCGCGCGCAAAGAACAGATGCTGAACTAACCAGAAAGAGTTTTACGTCGACGAGTAAGACATCCACCAGGTGGCATCATAATCGACACTGGCGACGTCGGCACGTGAAGAATAAAGATGGAAAAACTAAAAGGTACGAACACAGATATAGCATAGTGGTTAGGAAGGTTAGGAGGTTAAGGAAGAATAGAGATTAGATATAGAATAGAAAATAGATGTAGAATAGAGAATAGATATAGAATAAAGAATAGATATAAAATAGAGAATAGATATAGAATAGAGAATAGATATAGAATAGAGAATAGATTAAGAATAGAGAATAGATATAGAATAGAGAATAGATGTCGAATAGAGAATAGATATAGAATAGAGTATAGATATAGATATAGAACATAGATTAAGAATAGAGAATAGATATAGAATAGAGAATAGATATAGAATAGAGAATAGATATAGAATAGAGAATAGATATAGAATAGAGAATAGATATAGAATAGAGAATAGATATAGAATAGAGATAGAGGTTCGAGGAGAGTCAGGTCGGACGAGCAGCGTTTACGCGAGAAGTCACGGAGGAGGATGCAGGCGTTACGGTAGCAGAGAGGAGGAGTTACGGAGAGAGAGTCACAGGCCATGGAAAGATAGGCAGATCAGCCGAGAAGACGAGCGGAGGGACTGGAAAGCGTCGCCACGCGGAGGAGAGAGAGAGAGGAAAAGGATTGTGGCGGAGACAGTACGGAGCGGTCATGAACCCTCTCTCCTCCCACGGCCCAAACCCGCGCACAAGAGGAATCCCGCAAACAAACACCCAGCCGTCGCACGTCCACCACTACAGACCCCACACGACCCTTAGCCTACAAACTGAAAACCTATTGCCCCCTCACCGCCTCTAGATCGCCACTCCCCAGCTCTACAAGCGGACCACGGCGTGCTGGTCGAAACCTTCAGCAATCGGAGTCCGAAAACATTCAACCAACTCCAGCTTAATAAAACAGGAGCACCGACCCCGCTCAAGACGCGATTGCTAAAACTGACCCGCCCCTACCCCCTTGCCGACGCCATTAGTCGGACTAGCTCGAATCCAGCACGAACCTCTAAAATCATCTCTAGCGAAATACAGAAAGACGCAAGCGGATGAAGTGCGCGAAACAAGAACGAACGTGAAGAGCGAGAGAAGAGGAGAATGAGAGACTGTGACAAGTCGTAGTCTAATAGAGCAAACATAGCGCATGCGACATGCGCTGCCAATTTTTCGACCTGACGGTAAGCAATGTAACATTAGGAGCCATCTGTGTATTCAATATTTATTTGCATTGGTAGAATAAAACTAAAAACACCACTGAAACAAGTGAATCCCTGTTGTCATTCTATTCTGCGTATGTTCTCCCAGGTGCTGCAGCATTGCTTTCTCTCTTCCTCTCCCCTCTCTCTCCAATCTCTCTCTCTCATCTCTCCTCTTCTCTCTCTCGTCTCTCTCATCCTCCTCCCTCATCTCATCTCTCTTCCCTCTCTCTCTTCTCTCATCGCTCTCATCTCTCTCTCTCTCTCCACATTTCTCTCCCTCTCGTCGCTCTCCAAGCTCTCATTCTCTTCTC